TGTGTGTGTGTGTGTGTGTGTGTGTGTGTGTCTGTGTGTTTTAGTTCTTAGATTTTTTTTTTAATTTTATTTATTTATGTGTGTGTGTGTGTGTGTGTGTGTGTGTGTGTGTGTCTGTGTGTGGCCAGCTCAGCCCACCAGGGGGCAGGGCTGGCTGCCATGTGGTGCTGGGGGATTGAACCGCAGTCCCTGGGCTTTGCTAAGCTTGTTCTAAGTAGGTGCTTTAGACCACTGAGCCATCTCACCAGCCCCTAGTTCTTAGATTAAATAAAAGGGAATTTACTCTTGTTTCTAATCTTCTATAAATCAAAATGTACATATTGCATTTCAGGTTCTGTCTTTTCTGCGTTGTTGTGCATTTTCTTCTGGTCTTTCATTCACTACCAGAGCTCCACGTTTCATAAAGAGCAACTTTTCCCCTGCCTTACGGGCCTTGGGTCCCCTGCACACTTTCTCCCACATCTCCCTGGATGCCACCACCGTGACACGGGTCACCTCACCCAACTTCATGCTGCGAGTACTGTGGGTCACAGGCCTCCCTCCCCCAGCCCCCACGGCCTATCTGGGAAGCCCAGGGTCATGCCCTGCCTCTGGCCAGCTCATCGGATGCTCCTCCCAACGCGCACCCACCTCCCACAGCTGCCTGCACCTCAGCATCTTCGTCAGACTCCCGGTGTGCTCTGCAGCAGTACTCACCTCACTCGCAGCCCCTTCAGTGGCCTGGTGCTGGCGCTCCACAGACGTTCACGGACTGCGAAGTCCCTCCCGCCTCCATGTTAACTGTGTGCTCCTGCATCGTCCCCTTTTCACTCTCTCCCGTCCCATATCCCAGACTCCCAGGACCCTCTCCCCAGCCCCCTGCCCCAGCCACTCTTTCAGGATTCCTTCCCCATTCTCTACTAGGACTCACTCTCTCCTACCTGTGGGACGTGGCTTATCAGTTCTACTCTGATGATCACAAATTTACTGCTTTATCTGCCCTAATATTTCAGAAAGTCACTAAATGGATATTTTTCAACTTAACTTTTTTTCTGAAAGACTTTAAAAAATGTTTTCAACACAGCAGGTGCCCAGACATCTACTGAACTGACTTTAATGGGCTTATTGGAGAGCAGCTCACTTCAGCTGTGCTTCAGCACGTTACTTACCCCCTTTCACCGTGTTATCCACCTCATCCCCAGGAAGGCTCAGCCTTTTTTCTCCAAAACCAGGTCCCACTGCCTTCCAGGGAGGTCGCTGGGACTTTTCACTTCTCTTGTGGGCAAACAGCAAGGAAGAAGCCAAGGAGTCAGAGGATGACTGATCCGCCAGCGGCTCAATACTGCTCCCAGTCAGCCAATTAAAAGAGCTTCTTCCATCTGCAACAGATAGGACAAGAGCAGCGCGGACGTGCAGCCCCACAGTGCACGGCCGCGCGGGGCAGCGACAGTCCCAGGTCACCCGCAACACTGCGCAGACGCTGCGGCAGCCCCCAGGCGTGGCCCAAGGTACAGCCGGCCCGCGCCCCTGGGCCAGCCCTCTGGCCTCTGTGACTATTACAGGGATAATACCTTTTATATCTATCCTATGCAGCGAAGAGCCCATCATTCCTAACACTAGTACTGCACAATTTCCACTGAATTAATCAAATTGGCCCTGCTTCTACAAACAACAGAATATGATAAATACATAAAGTAATAAGAAGCTGAAGTGTTTATACATGTATGAAATGATTAAGACATTTTACTCTAGAATTCATACTTTGCAGATCAAAGGAATAAAGGCATTTGAAAAAATTAGTTTTGCTTTACTTTAGAGAGATGACAGATTTTTTTTGGGGGGTATCAGGATTCAAACTCAGGCCCACATGCTTGTGAGGCAGGCCCTGTGCCACTGAGCGACACCCCTAGCTCAAGATACGATGCTTTAAACCAGACGCATTAGTGTTTTCTGGCAAAAGTGACCCAAGATGTACATAATACTGAAACCACCCCTGGTTTTTCCATTAAAAAAAAATCCCTTTTGCCTCTTTTTAAAAAAAACTGGGGCCAAGAATACAACTTGGAGGCCCAGCACCAGATTGGCAAGCACAAGGTCCTGAGTTTGATTCCTTGGAATGACTCCCAAGGACAAAAACTATGGTAACTACAAATAACATTTTGCACTTAAATCACTTAGAGCCTATGGTTCAGTGGTAGTATTCACATTAAGATCATCCCCAGAATGCTTTTCCTCTCAAAAACTGAAGCTCTTTACACACCTGCCCCCTTCTCCGGAGGATATGAGCTCCCCGCCCCCCTTCTCCAGAGGATCTGAGCTCCCTGTCCCTTCCTCTTCCAAAGGATCTCGGTACCTGTCCCCCTCCTCTAGAGGACTTGAGCTCCCTGTCCCCACCCCAGAAAATCTGAGCACCCATCCCCCTTTCTCCAGAGGATCTGAGCACCCATTCCCCGTCCTCCAGAGGATCTGAGTGCTCCAGGAACCTCAATCATTTTTCCTTTAACGCATCTTTTGTGGTTATTAAGACTTTTCCTATCATCACTGTACTTCTTTCACAAGAGGTCACGGTTCTTACTCTAACAGACATCATGTGCAAAGGCTCTTACCTGCAGTCTGTGTGGGTGTGAAGTCGTACTGCTGCTGCGTGGCCCTTACATGCCCAGCCCTTGGCCCTTGCGCGGGGAGGGAGTTTTCCCTGGTGTGGGTCTGCAGCGTGCCTGGGGAGGCCTGGGTCTCGACAAACATTGGTGTGAGAACAGTACTTCGGAAACGCCAGTCAGGATCGATGGGGTACTCCTGCAGGTAAGAAAGTTCCAAAGGATACCATGGGCCTCTGCAGCAGTACTGAAAGATTTCTATTTAAAGGCCCATGGCGGCAGGCAGAGAACCTCAGCCGTTATGTATTATCGTTTCATACTTCTTGCAAGCTATAGCCAAACGACCTTTTCTAACAGAGCTTCAGCAAACAGTAATTTATCAAGTAAAAGAACTATTCGCTGCGGGGCATGAAATCATTCTCTTACCCTTGACATTTTGTGGTAGGAGGCGACACCACACTCAGGTGCGGCCACGGTGCCACATCACACCTGACAAGTCATACTACGTGGCTCTCCTCAAGCTCATGTACGCCAGGCACATGACAGTCACACGAGGCACAGCCCATACCTGATGGTCCAAAATCCAGAATGCAACAAACCTAGAATTTCTTTCTTTTAATGTACTTAGTTGTTACAGGGTCTCACTATGCAGCTCAGATTTGTGGTGATCCTCCTGTTTTCAGCCTCTCTAGCGCTGGGATTACAGGCGTGCGCCACCATGTCTGGACTCTGGCTGGCTCAGCCCACCCTGGGGGCAGGGCTGGCGTGGCATGTGGTGCCAAGGATTGAACTGGCGCGGTCCCTACGCTTGCCTAAGTGGGCGCTTTGGTCTGCTGAGCTGGCTCACCAGCCCTCAAACCTGGAATTTCTGAAGCAACTACATGATGCCTCCTGTGACAGGCTGCAGTTAAAATACAGACCTATTACAAGATGGCATATAAACTCACATCCAGCCTATGTGTCTAAGGTGTATACGAAGTGGAGAGGTGCAAGCCTGTGATCCCAGCACTCAGGAGACTAAGACAAGAGGATCACTGTGAGTTCATGGCCAGCCTCGGCTACACAGTGAGACCCTTTTTCAAAAAGAAAAAGAAAGAAAAAAAGTTATATATGAAATAAAATTTGTTTGCACTGGGTCCCCAAGATGTTTTATTGTGTATATATGAATATTTTCATATTCAAAAATATCTGAAATCCAATCCACTTCTAGTCCCAAGCAGTATGGACAAAGTATCCTTAACTAGTGCTGGGAATGTCAGTATAAAATGGACAATCAGCCCTCCCACAAGGTCTGTCATGGTGCGGACCTCTGTGACCACCACAGCTCCACAGAAAAGCACAAAGCTGGCGCCTCTGGGCAGGAGAGGCGCTGGGAGGCGAGGAAACCTAAAGGCACCCTGGGACGATAAGAGAGGCAGCCTCAGAGAGGAATGTGCGCACATTCCAGGAAAACTCCGGCTGCAGCCCAGCGCCGACAGAAGGCGCTCGCCAACAACGGGAACATAGGACCAGCTCATCAGGACGGACAGACGGGCACCTCACCTGAAATTCACACTCCGACAGAGGGTGCTCAAACATGGGGTTTGGGTAATCCGGGCTCAGGCTGGTCATTTCAAGCAGAAAATTTGTTGCTAAACTTAAAAAGTGGCTTTCGATCTTAGGAGAATATAAGGAACTCAGGGCCAACAGTCGGTCCAGGATATTTGAAGGTAACCGGGTTTCATGGCTCCAGAAATTCCGAATAATTAATCTGAAAAGCAGAGGGGGAGAAATCACACACTTTCTTATGTCCTAGAACGTGTGAGGAAGTGCTGTGCACGGCGCCCGGTGCCCCGTGGGAAGGCCCAGCAGCCCAGCATCCCACCCAGAGAGCTTCACTGAGCGACACGTCGGAAACCATGAGGGCGTAATCTGCACCATGAAAGGTAACAGGCGCTAACGTGGGGAAGGTCCTCAGGATGTAGCATATTTAACAACAGAAATGGGATGGTTTTCTTTTCTCATCTCTTAGTACTTTTGTTTATATTATGAGACAGGGTCTCTCTGGGAGACCTGGGCTGGCCTGGAA